AATGGTTGCTTCAGTCTTCGATCCACTCGGGTTTGTCGCCCCATTCATATTGATTGGAAAACAAATACTCCAAATGTTGTGTAAAGACAAGGTCACCTGGGATGACAATCTCCCTGAGCACATCCTACCACAATGGGAATTGTGGCTTCGAGACCTGCCTAAACTAGCGGCTTTAAAAATTCCACGAAGCTACTCAGAGAACATCAACGTTGAAAAATACGAACTACACAGCTTTTCAGATGCAAGTCTCAGCGGTTACGGAGCATGTTCATACCTTCGGGCAACAAGCAAGGAGGGACAGATCACCTGTTCACTTGTCATGGGTAAAGCAAGAGTTACACCCACTAAACAAACAACCATCCCAAGGCTCGAACTGTCATCCGCCGTGACATCAGTCCGTAACGCAGATGTAATCAAACAAGAAATCGAAATTGAAAACCTCCAAGAGTTTTATTGGACGGATTCACAAGTTGTACTAGCTTACATAAGAAACGATGCCAAAAGATTCCACACATTTGTTGTGAATCGTATTCAACGGATAAGACAAAGCACAGATCCTGACCAATGGCGACATGTCATCTCTGAAAACAATCCAGCTGATCATGCCTCGAGAGGCCTGAGTGCAACTCAGCTTAAGAACTCAAACTGGTTACAAGGTCCCACCTTCCTTTGGCAACAAGATCTTCCAGTCAAGAAGGAAACGGTGGGAGAAATGCTTGAAGCAGATCCTGAACTCCGAAAAGGTTACACACACACTATTCGTTCAAAGGAAGCAGACATCTTGCTGGAACGTCTGAAGAAGTTCTCAGAATGGTCAAGAGCAGTAAAAGCTATCGCTCCACTCAGAAGGTTTCTCAAAGAGTTCAAAGGTCTCCAACAGAGAACAAATAAAGCTACAGATCTTGAGGAAAGAAAAGACACCGAAATCTTCATTATCAAACAAGCACAAAAGGAAGCTTTCGCTGACGAATTACAAAAATTAAGATCACAAAGAGAAAATGCTCTGCACAAACACAACAGACTCAGACAGTTAAATGCTTTCCTGGATAAAGCAGATGTTCTCAGGGTGGGAGGACGGTTATCCCAATCCGCTTTACACCACGAAGTCAAACACCCCGCAATTCTACCCAAAGAATCTCATGTGTCAGTCTTGCTCATCAAACACCACCATGAACATGTACACCACCAAGGAAGAGGCATGACTGTGAATGAATTGCGTGCAAATGGAATATGGATTTTAGGATGTGGAAATCTTGTATCTTCACACATCTACCACTGCGTGAAATGCAGAAGATACCGAAGAGCTACAGACATTCAACAGATGGCAGATTTGCCAGAAGTGAGAACAGAAACAGCCCCTCCATTTACCTATTGTGGCGTTGACTGTTTCGGTCCTTTTATTGTGAAAGAAGGAAGAAAGGAAGTTAAGAGATATGGGTTATTGTTCACATGCTTATGTTCACGAGCAGTGCATATTGAAACACTTGACGACTTGACAACAGATGCTTTTATTAACGCCCTTCGAACTCTCATAGCAATAAGAGGCCCTGTCCGGCAATTAAGATGTGATCAACTTCATGGGCGCAAGGAGAGAGTTTTCGGAGTTAATGAAAGAAATGGATCAAGAACGTCAAAGAAGTATTGGTTGCGAATTTGTAATGAATGTCCCAGCAGTTAGCCATATGGGAGGAGTATGGGAGCGCCAAATTCGAACAGTGCGCAGCATACTAACAGCAATGCTAGACAAGTTCTCAAATAGACTCGACACCACTAGTTTAAGAACTCTTCTATACGAGACAATGGCAATCATTAACAGCAGGCCACTAAGTGTTGAACATATCAACGACCCCACTGATCCAGAACCACTTACGCCAAATCACATATTAACAATGAAATCAGTAGTTATTCTCCCTCCTCCTGGGCAGTTCTCCAAAGAAGATTTGTATTTGAACAAGAGATGGAGAAGAGTACAGTTCCTCGCAAATGAGTTTTGGCAGAGATGGAAGAGAGAATACCTGTTGAATCTCCAACAACGAAAGAAATGGCAGAAAGTATCACGTAACCTGCAAGTAAATGACATTGTGATTCTACAGGACGATAATATGCCAAGATGTAAATGGAGGCTTGCTCGTGTGATGGAGACTTTCCGAAGCACAGATGGAAAGGTTCGAAAGGTGAAGCTGAAGACGAGTGACACGACTTGTGACAAAGGGAAAACACAGACGAGACTAATACACATAGAAAGACCTATTCACAAAGTTGTGACTTTAATTGAGACTGATAAAGCCCAAACACATAGTCAAGACTTGGACACTTCTTAGAAAATCACATTCAAGGTTTATTGGTGATTTTGGTGGGAGTGTAAGTGTCATTAAAATGCATTATGCAAAACAAGTTAATTTTGATTTAAGAAAATTATAAGTTAAAATTATTATGTTAAATTTTGTTTAAAAATTATTATAATTTATACAGGAAAATTGTGTTTTACTTTATATAAATATACGACTGTATTAATTTCATTTGGTTTGGTACCGCAATTGTCGCGAGAGTTTGAGAAATTGATATCGGGCCACAGGTAGATCGCATACGCCCTCTTATGCTAAAGACCATTAGAGCGAGAGCCACGATTTCGGCAGCTACGGCAGCTAACCGGCTGCACGAGGTATCTTTTGTTTTATATTTCTTGCGATTGTTGTTACGAAATGTATTGTTTTTATGTATGTATTTTGTGCACAGATATAAAGTGCGCCAATCGCGCAGATTTCCTTTTCTTAAAGATCTCCGATGTGACAGGCGGCCACGAGGTAGCTAATTTCATCGGTACTTCTGTGTTAGCAAACAAATCTGGAGTGTCTAATTATATGTTTTATGTGTCCTGTAGTTTTCACAGCGTTTTACGGCATTTGTTAAGGCTAATAAATGCGCCAGTACTCGAGAACCCGTGTGCAGTGATAGATGTGATCAAATAAATTTGCTTAAACAGTGATTGTATCAGATGATTGAGGAGCTACCATTCTAACCTTGAACCCTAAACTTGCAAAGCTCAGTGTGGAATCTTAAAAGGACTGAGAAAAACTTGTAAATCTGCAAGTTAAGGCACTGGCAATGCAGGTTCATGTTTATGGTGGCCAGGAGGTAGGTTCCCCTTTTCTCCAGGACAGTCCCAAGTTTGAGCCCTGTGTCCCTCTGTCCCATCAGATTTATAATAAACCAGTGATTTGCCCGAGTTTTATACAAGAAATGTCCCAGATGTCCCTATTTTTGACCAATTTGTTCTAATTCATCAACTCTAAACCACGACTAAAACAGGACGATGACAATTTTTGACTAATCAGATCCTTGCCAACAGTAAAGAGGAGCATAAATTGTTATTTGTTTAGCCAAAATACAGAAATCTGTGTTTGTGAATGACCATAAAGCAAAAAGAAAAGCGACAGAAGCCCCTCAGATTATGACGAGAATGCGAGATACAAGAATGCACAATCTTACACACTCTTTTCACAATTTTATTTATACCAACCATCCCAACCCAGGTGTGTCCCAGTTTAGAATTTTGAAAATCTGGTCGCTCTAGGCAGGCCCCCATGATGTGAGCATGTGTACAGAGTTTAGTCTGCACAATGTGATAATTACTCACACACAGTCACATACTCATCGACACACTTGTACACAATGGCATAAATGAAGACAAAGATTATCCTATCTGAGCCACAGAGACCTTGATGACCTCCAAAACTAATTATTCAGTCATTAAGAGGCTTAGCTGTGTTAGCACTGTAGCTTTTACTAAACACAAAATATCAAAGGCGTTGGCGTGATAGCATCGGGAGCTAATCCAGATTTTGTCAGGCCATAATGACACAAAACGGACCACAGATAAACCCGAGGACCATTTTTGAGAGACAAAAAGGAGATGTCACTTGACCAAATTACAGTGTTTTTGAGCAATAAAACCTACTGAATAAAAAGAAAATGGGTATGTTTACTGTCATACCGTGGAACATTTTAGGTAAGCAACAAGTAGGTATCAGACTGTTCACTAGAAAAGTTATATAGGCTACGTTCAGACTGCAGGGCTTAATGCTCAATTCGGAATATTTTGTGAAAGCTGATTTTTTTGTGAGGTCGTTCACATTTCCAATTAAATGTGACTTGTATGTGATCTTCAGTGTGAACTTTAAACGCCCCAAAAGTGTCCCGCATGTGCACTGGAGGACACGAAGACGTCACATGCAGCGAGTGTGCTTAGTGTTTACGGAAGTGGCTTAAATGCTGAGCTTGTCTCCGAAAATACGGTCCAGTTCTTCGTAAAATGGACAGGTTACAGGTCCACGGCTGCTTTGTTTGTTTGAGTCTTTAGTCTACTTGTATTTGGCTCGCAGGCTCTTTTTTTTTTTTGTTGACACTGGAGCCAGGACTGCCTATAGCCACGCTTAGACATTTCTTTCAAAAACTGCCCGATTCTGATAAGACGCCTCCAGTTTGGCCTGAAAACACAGATCCTCCTTGCTTGGACAAATCCAGACTCATCACTGTACAGAGAGATATCCTTCTGGATTTCCAGGCAACGATCCTCCCTGAATATTAATAAACTCGCTAACCTCGCTTTCCTTCTATTGACTAGACTCCGAGCCTGACGTGTAGGTTGGATGAATGCGACCTGACCGTTCAGACTGAAGTCGCATGTCAGAAGATCGAAAATGTATCGGATTTAGGAGCACATATCCAAGTGGCCTGGGTCACATTTGAAAAAAATCTGATCTGTATCATTCAGACTGTCAATAAAAGATCAGATACAGGTTGCACAGGGGCGAAAAAATCTGATTTTGGTCACTTCAGGCTGCAGTCTGAACGTGGCCTTAGTGCATAGGGCTTTTATTCCTTGTTTGAGATATTGACTAGTTTTCAGTAGCCTTAACTCATTACTTTTTGCAATGTTGTCTCACTTTTAATAGAGCAAGTGGATCTAAATTGTCATGTCTTTTGATCTTGTCTATCAGGACACACTGCGAGAATGCCGTCCTGAAGAAATCCACTGTCTCACCTACCTGCCCCTGGTCTCTCCCATCTACTTTGTCACGTTTGTGCTCATGGCTCAGTTCGTCCTCGTCAACGTGGTGGTGGCTGTTCTGATGAAGCACCTGGAGGAGAGCAACAAGGTAAAAGCAACAGCGAGACAGAAAGTGGTGAAAGATGTTAAAGGGCCAGATCTGTTATAATGTTGTTTCCTCATCACAAACAAACCTGGAGTTGTGTTGTGTTTTGATGAGGTAACAACATTTTAACACAGTGTAAATCTCACAAGAGACAATTTTGTGTAATATACAGTAGGTTGGTTGTTGAATGTTAAAATGTTTTGTGGTGTTTTTTTGCAGGAGGCTAAGGAGGACGCAGAGATAGATGCAGAGATTGAACTGGAGATGGCGCTAGAGAATCAGCGGCGAGCGAGCACCGGGTCCAATAACAGCTCAGTGGGAGGGACCTACATCGGGCCGTGTCCAAATTCTCCCGAAGAGGTACAGAAAACAAATCCATTAAAATCCTCAATTGACTTATACATGTTTATAGACCATGACAATTACATTTTTAACTTGAATCAAAATTATGTTTTAGTTTTAGTTTTTCTTTTGCTTAATTTTCATATAGAGATACATAATGATAAAAGTTTAGAGCGTTAGTATAGCGCTTAACTACTGATTGGTTAAAAAGTCCTCCAAATGGCACCTATAAACATATCACTTTATATCCTTATTTGTAAAGTAACAGCATTTTCTTCCATTTTCAATTTAATTCACCTTTTTGCAGCAATATAAACAGTACATTTGATGTTCAAATTGTGCTTATCTTTAAAAGTATACACAATATTTGATCAATTTATGTTAATACTTTGATAATGTGCCCACCTTTGTCTTCTTTACTTTGCAAAAAAAATATATATTATTTTTTTTTGTTACAATTCATCAAACATCAAGTAATCCTGAGTTCCTTACTATTTTTGACCAAAGCCTGTTTTGTTTTTCACTGATATTAAAGCTATAAAATGTAATCATATAGTGCTTTAACATGTCAAATTTTAAGTGCTGTGTGCTTTAAAACATGGTTCAGTTAATGCACTACACAGTTCCAAACAAGAGCTCTATAAAAATCAACATGTCTATGATCTGGTCTGTGTCTCCCCCTGCAGGAGGACGAGGTGCACTACAAGGAGCAGGATCCTTCCTCCATAAAGATGTCCGTATCCAGGATGCACTCTCTGCCCAACGACAGCTACATGTTCAGACCTGTCCGTCCCGCCAGCGCCCCCTACCCTCTGGAGGAGGTGGAGCAGAGTCCCCAGCACGCAGGTACAGGGATATTACAGTGAATAATAAAAACAAAGGCACATTTTTAATAATACTTTTATCGTTAATAATTATTATATTATTGATCTGAGTGCTTCCCAACCCGTGGTGTAGTAACCCTTTCAGGAATTTAAGACCCATGCAGGGCTCTTGGAAACATCTCAAAGGTGCATTATATCACTTTTCTGGTCTTTGAGGGTCTGCCATCAACTTGTCTCCATAAAGTCGCTTTTGTTTGGAATGCTTTGCTTTATGACATTATAATTCTGTACATCTTGAATTTGTTAAATTAAGGATGTTTTAAGTTTTTATAAAAGCTTCGAAAATGAATTCTTACGAGTACAGACTTGACCTGTGACTTGACCTGATGACGTCCCCTGCTTGTTTCTATGGAGACAGATAAGGCTAATGTCAGTGTCAATATGGAATATTAGAAGAACAATGATAACATCTCTATGTAAACGAGTAGGTGGCAGACCCCTTACATAGTGCACCTTTACCTTTTATAGCCTTCACCTGTACTAATAATTTTGTTTGTATTTTTTTATATATATATATATATAATGAACTATTCACAGATATTTATTTCATTCTTGTCTGCTGAACAGTGACGTTCTTAAAAGTTAAAATAGCATATTATATCTGTTAATGTTCTTAAAGATTTCATATCCTCAGTGAAGTAAAAATGCTTGTCTATAACATATAATAGCCCATGGTCCATTGGTTGGGAAGCACTGCAACCTTTTGTGGGTTTTGGAAGAATAAGGCGTAACAGGAGACACGAGCACTGACCGTACTGTTCTGTGTGCAGTCAGACTGTAGGCACAGGCCCTGGCTCTGTCAAAGGTACAACAGCAGTGGATGAGCTGAAACAAGTGAACAATAACTGCCTTCACACAACTCATCTGCTCAGCCCTCATACGACCCCTGCAGTCGAGCTGGACAAACTGCAAAGCCACAACCCAATAGCTACAAGTTGAACTGATATCTTTGTGAATCTGATTTTGAATTGTCAATGAAATTCACTGTTGGTGGCTTTGTAGTTTGCAGTGATATGAAACTGATATGATCTTTTCCTGTTGCATAGATTTTGCATAGGCTTGTCTGAATGCTGCTTGGAGATCCTGGTTATAATATTGCACTGTTATAAACCCTAAAAAGTTAGATTTAACCATTTACTGTGTATTTAAATGTCTCTTTAAAGGTATGCTTTTCTGATGAGAGGACCAACACCTGCCAGTCTCCATGGGGGATGTTAATGCTTATCCTGGAATGTTCCGCAGTAGCATTAAACTTATATATCTTGGATTTGCTCAATTTGGTATTTATTACACCAAAAAACAAAAACAGATTTTATTTTTCAGTCTTGAATCTTGAAAAAACATCTTAAAAGGCCTATATTATTATTACTATTTACTTTATTATATATTATATTACTACTTTTGATCTATGTTGTGTGTGCCATTTCCTCTTTAAAAACACTCTCGGAGTTGTGTTTTGTTTCATTCACACATGTTTAACACAACATATTTAGCAATCTCTGTTCCACAAAAGGTAAAACGTAGCTGTTAACTTGAAAACTCTAAAGACTAAAAATAAAGGGTTACTCAAAGATGTATGAATGAAAGAAAACACAACTCCAGGCATGTTTTTGATGAGATAACAGCATTATAACATGGATTAAAGCTCACAAGAGTCAGTGGCCGCGTCTACATGATGTTTTTTAACTCCAAATTAATTGTTCTGAATTAAATAGTTTGGAATTAAAATATTCTCCTTCGAGTTTACATGGAAATAATAATTCCGAATTGAGGTTTACATGGAAAACACATTAAATCGCCTTTATTTAATTCTGCTCAACATCTGGGGGTCGGGAAGGATTCTGATTGACAGGGACACAAACGTACTTACATTAACTGGAAGAAAACACACACTTCAGCTGCTGCCAGCTTTTTTGTCATCTCGGTTTGTCGTTACGCCACGGACATAAACATGAACATACAAAATTTTTCGTAGTTGTTCCGATGATAATTAAGCAGCAGCTCGAGATTTCTCTCATCGTGCTTTACATCAGTCAGCTGAGGAGGAGAAAGGAAGAGTGTCAGAGAAGGGAGGAAGAAGACAAACTGAGTCAACGGCTGCTCTACCTCAGCCCACTCCCGCATCCCGCTCACAAATCCAAAGAGACGTGGATGAAAGTCCAAAGCGAGGACTTTTAGAGCCAGATCCAACAACCCAACGATCATGCGCTGAACGACAGGAATAATTTTTAAGAAGAATAAACATTTACATGATCAAGGAATAAATTAATTTGTCTTTACAATCAGAATAAACCACCCACTTAAGTTTAATTCCGAATAATAATTTTCATTAGGAATTAAGTGTTTACATCGTCTTTTTACAGCGGAATAAAATTTTATTCGGAATTAAATTATTTTTATTTGGAATTTAAGGTGTAAAGACGTAAACGTGGCAAATTTTGTGTAATATAGCGCCTTTAATGCTATATTAGGGAGCAGTCCAGGCAAAACAACGACATCTCCATGGAAACAAGCAGGTGACGGTTACACAGTGCAGCTTGAAAACACATTTGATTTAACCAGGATTTCAGATTAATACATCGTTAACTCACTAATTTCCTGAAAACCCTGGCCACACTCTATTTTGATTATGGCGCACAGTTGGTTTTATAATTGACATAAACACATGAAAGGTAAATCGTAAACCTTTTCATGCAGTACAATTATACTTCTCCATAATGTCAAGATAAAGTGTTGGCTCAAGAACAGAGAGAGTGGATGTGAATATTGAGTTAACTTAACGGCCATATGCATGTACAATAAACGGCATGCATGAGATGTCGGCTACGTAGAGTGTAATGAAGCAATAGACCTTCCCTCTGCTTCAACCTGAACTCTCCTCCGTGTGTTTAATGGTTTTATGGTTTTTATAGCAAACTATGAACCATACGATATCTCCCTGGTAATCAGAGGTGGGCAGATTAACCAAACACTGTACTAGTAAGTAAAAGTGGTCCAAGAAATTAAAATGATTGTAAAAGTTACTGCTCTTGAAGTAACATCTGATTTATAATTTAAGATTAAAGGTCCTGTACACCAGTGTTTCCCAAACTTTTTTTCTGGGGACCCATATTTTAAAAGTCACAAACCTTTATGAAGTCAATAAATATTATTTGTAAATCAAAAAATAAAGGTGAATTTGAACATTATTGAACATTAATGAGGATATTTTATTGTTGATCGTATCTCTCTGAACAATTACTTAAGTTTTTGTAATTAAAGCAGCAATAAAAGGATCCATAAGTCGCCTATTTGGACATTTAGTGTAGCCCATTTCTTTTTCTTTTCATTCAGTTGAACCAGCAATATTGGAACAAAATAGTCAATAAAATAATTCCCGGTACAAAGTGATTAAAAATGATACAAAACATGTCTTAACATTTCAACATTTCTAATGAGATAGGTGGGCCTGTCTGCGTTTTTGTAGTGCATTCCAGTCCGGGTGCAAGATGCAGATCAGGCAGAACTGGAGACCTACATGCAGACCCCAAAAAATCTCTTGCGTCCCACCTGAGGGTCGCAATCCAGTGTTTGGGAAACAATGCTGTACATGATTTTTTTCCCCCATGTGTTTGGGTAAAATTGTCTTGCCCCAGTATAAATATATTGTATAAGCAGCTCTCGAGGTCAAAATAGTTTGTCTACATCTAATTATAAAGCGTTTTACTGTCCAATAATCAGGAAGTGCACGTTAGCATGCTTGTAGTTGTCAGCTTTATCATGAGAGAGAGTTTTGAAAAGTGCTTCTAGTCATCTTAAATCATCTCAGTGAATAATTAGGATGAAGGTAAGTGAAGAATAACTTTGGACCACTGGAAAACATTTAAAATTAATTCTGTTTTTCACATTTTTAAAGCTATGATATCAGATACAGTGCCTTTAATGCAATTGGAAGGATAGCACAAACATTTACTCCAGTACTATTACACTATAAAATATAATACTCAAGTAGAAGTAAAAATCTGGTGTCTTAAAAGCTCAAATCGATTCACTTCACTGTGCTTGAGTAAATCTGTGAGGACTGCCCACCTCTGCCTGAAAAATAAATATACAGACACATGACTCCAGTGTGTTTTCCAATCCTCTAATGTTCTTCTCTGGGTTGTTAGGCTCGGTGACGTCGGTCCACTCCCAGCCGTGCGAGAGGCGCAGTCTGCTCCAAGTCCCCGACATGTCCCCCCTCCGCAAGCCCAGCTCCCCCCTGGCCCCGCCCCGCATCGCCCCGCCCGCTCCAAGCCCCTCCCCCCGAGCCCTGCGCAGACAGGTGAGGATTATCTTTTCTTCATCACGTCGTTTGTGTAGCTGCCCTGGTTTTCTTCATAAATAAAAGGACTTCACATCATCGCCATGAACACAGTGAAAACTAAAATAAAGACAGACAGAGAAAATGGCTCAGCTTTACATACAATACTTTTAAATAAATACAAAATATATTTACCGTTTTCACCTTCACATCGCCAGTGGTAGTTCAGTAGCATTTCTTTAAATTTGACGTCTTTTCTTCACATTTTCTGCGTTTCTCTATCGTCTTTCTCTCTTTCACGGCTACTATTTCTCACTGTTTACTTCTGGGACAAAGTAAAAGGTCACTAAATACAAATAAAATATATGAACATTAATAACAGTGGTGTTCTGACACATCTTAATATTTGAACAGATAAAATAATAATTTTCTGACTTATTACCATAAAGCAAAAATACTGACATTATCCAGAGCTACAGTTGGATTCTACAATTTCTACTTGATTTTACTTTGCATTTTTTGCTTCGTTCTACTTTACTTTATTTTACATTACTACATTCTACATAACTTTAGTCCACTTTACTTTATCCTTGTTTTCTTTACTTTATCCATCTTTAGATTATTCTGCTTTACTTTATCCTTCTTTACTTTATCATTTACTTTATTTTATCCTTCTTTACTTTACTTTATTTATCCTTCTTTATTTCACTTCATCATTTACTTTACTTTAGCCTTCTTTACTTTTCTTTATTTATTCTTCATTTATCATTTTTTATTTCATTTTATCATTTACTTTACTCTACTTTACTTATTCTTTTTTCCTTGTCTTTATCCTACTGCTACTGCTACTTTATACTATTACCACTTTACTGTACGTTACTTTATCCTTCTTTACTTTACACTACTTTACTTTCTCCATCTTTACTTTATTCTTCATTACTTTTCTGTTACTTTACTTTATTCTACTCTAGTCTTCCCTCCTTTCTTTTTCTCTTCTTTACTCTTCTGTCTTTATTTTGCAGATTGCAGTCAAAGTGGATTCAGTGGAGGTTCATAGCTCAGAGCACCAGGAGCGTCCCAACCCTCCTCGTGTGCCTCCTCTGCCCCCTCAGCCGAGCACTCCCTCTCCTCTGCCCCCTCCTCCGCCCTCCTCGCCCTCCGCTCTGCCTCCTCCCTCGCCCTCCTCCCTGTCTCTCCCTCCCTCCTCCCCCTCTCCTGTCTGCTCTCCTGTCGCCGCTCTTCTGTCCTCTCCCTCCTCCCTCCCCCTCCTCCCTGCTCCCCCGCCCGGCTGCTCCCTCCTCCGCCCTCCCCTCGTCTGCCCCTGAGGCCGCCCAGCCTGCGCCGGCCCAGGCCTCTCGTGGACACCCGTGACCCAGCGGACGAGGAGGTGTGCCACATCACCAGTGCAGCCTGCCGCCAGTGGAGAGAGGAGGCGGGGCCCGACCAGACAGGGAGGACCTGTAGGAGCCTGTCACTGTCTCCTTATGCCCCGCCCTTCTGCCACGACTCTGACCCCGCCCCTGTCCCTCCTGTACCCACCCTCACCCCCACCCAGGCGTCACGGAGCACGCTCAGTCTGCTCACTGACACTACGAAGGAGCGCGACCTAAAGAAGGGCTTTAGCACCGATAACCAGTGCTTCCTGGGTAAAACGCTGTCGGCCGGTTTCCCTGAGGACCAGCGCCGACACTCCATCGAGGTGTGCCTCCCTCAGCTGATCTTCACCAGTGACGAGGCTCCAGAGCAGAGGCAGCGACCGGAGAAGGGCCCAGTGCGTGTGCAGTCTGTGGGAGGTGGGCACAGGAAGAAGAAGCTCAGTCCTCCCTGTATCTCCATCCACCCTCCTCCAGAGAAAGAGCCTGCCCCGTCCGCCTCTTCTCCCAAACTGTCTCCCTGCAGCATGCTGCTGCGGAGGAGAGCGCCCTCATATGACCTGAGCCCTCACACTCAGACGCAGGAGGCGTGTACAGACACACAGACCCCCCTCTCGCCCCTCCACAGACCTCTACAAGTGCATTCTCCCAGCCACACTCTGGCGCCCTCTGCAGGCAACACCCCAACACACAGCCCGTCCTTCCCCACTCATGGGATCTCACCGACACACATCCCTATCAGCCCTAACATATTTATCCAGCCCCGGGCACCCCTGGGCGCTATGCCCTGTGGTCAGAGCCCGTCGCCCCGGCACTCTCCTCACCCAGGGGACTACAGCTCTCTGCCACAGTTCAGCTTCGATCAGCCACAGACACGCTACATGAGCGGTCTGCAGCCCGGTCTGTCAGACAGTGACAGTCCCACCTGCTCCTCTCCCTTTGACAGCAGACTGAGGAGCAGCCCGGGCTTCAGCGCTAAGAACCGCAGGACTGCCCAGTGAGCAGATGGGCCGCCTTCAGGAAGTCCACTAACCTCGGACATGGTGGTGGAGCGGCTGGGACTTTTGTTTTAACAGTGACAATTGGGACTCTTTTTATAAGGAGAAGAGAAGGATTTTTGAAGAACTACAAAACCACTAATGCTGTACTGGTGACAGCATCCACTGTATACGGTGCATTTTGGAGTAACGCTAATAAGTTTGCACCAGAACTGAAGCCACCTAACTCCGTAGCCAAAGTTTTCATTTGTATTGTTTTTTTTTTAACTTGACACACTGTCTCTACCCACGCGAGCCAATCAGGAAGCAGCGTCTGGCTGATAATCGATGACCTTTTATGGGCGGCGTGGGGGAAATGTGGGATATGCAACTTGATGTGTCCTACAGGCGCTCTGCGGCCCTGGGCTCCTGGATCACATTGATCAGAGCAGGAGTGTTTGGACAACACACAGGGAGCAGGACACAGCTGTAGACTTTATCTGGGGATCTGTGCAGTGTAAATAAGAAGAAAATACTGTATTTGGTGAGATTAAAATAGCTCTATCCATATGCACATATTTTTATAGAAATCTAACATGTTTTTGCACACAGATTTGAATTTCAAGTTGCTTGTTTATCCTCTGTTGTCCTTACGTGAATGTATGTTTCCTTTCAAAAAAGAGAGAGAAGTGCGTCGAAGTCTCTCAGATAGGAGAGCTGAGGTTTAAGAGAAGGCTTTTATTTTTCTATATTTGAAAACCACAGGACATGCAGGGGTCTTTTCTGTAGCTGTACTGTCCCATTTCTGTGTATCCGGGCTTTTCATCAGTTGGGAGATGCAGGCTCAGTGACACTCAAGATTTTAGAATATTCTAATTAATCTGTGTTCATATTAATATAAAGTCATTAATGAAATAATATTGAGTATGGTCACAAGCTGCAGCCTTTTTTACTCAATATAGTTTGAGTCCCCTCATTGGTTGAAGTCCTATGCTATAATAAAGCATCGCAGGCCCATTGTGCATTGGCTGTGTCGTGTCACTGAGCCTCTCTCTGAAGCAGCTGTAGTCGGATCATCTTTGACACCACTAAGTGTTTTTGTACATCTTAAGACAACCAAACTATTGAATATGTGTAGCCAGAGTGCAATAATAATACTATACTTGTGGAAACCTAGTTAGCTGGATGCTACGTTTAGCTGTGAGCGGTAGACTACTGTGTATGATATTGACCTTACTGCAGACTCACTGCAGGTGTTTGAGCTGTGCGTGGCTGCAGAGGCATGACTGTGGCGAGGACACTCTGCTGGTACATCTCTGCTCACTCTGTCATCCTGCTGTTCCTTTAGCATGCATGAACACTGCAGTTTCCTACATATCCATCCTCATACGTATGAATGAGAAGAATGTCGAATAAGCCATACCTTTATCCGAGCACAAAGTGTACAGTCGTGTCGTGCATGAGGAACAGAGTCCCTTTGCAAAGGCCGCTGCTGGGACAGCGTCTGAACTCCCCTGCACAGGTGCTCAGCCCTCTGAGCACGACCAAAGTGCTTTGACAATATAACCACATCACCTGTAGTGCAGGGACGTGTGCAAGGAACAACTGACATCCCAATATTTATCAAACTATATATAATCTATATTTATATACAAGCATAGGAAGAGTTTAATTTATTTATGCTGTTCAGTGCGGCGGCGCAGTAAACCAGAGGAGTGAGGTGCAGTAGACACTTTTATTGGTCGTTTTCCATGAGCTTTATCACCTTCATGAGCTTCCTCTCAGAGCAGCACAATCACACTATCAGACTGAACTCCAGTTCATCTTTCAGTACCACACAGGATCACACCCAAACTCGAGTCACTTAGACCAACTTTAGAAATGTGTAAGAGACCAGGGCAGACCACAAAGGGCTCATCATGAAGCTCCATGAAAGCTCTGCTCTTCTTCCCCTGGCCCCACGCACACACACACTCATATACACACTCATACACACACACTCTGTCCTCAGCGTGTGCTTTAACTGCTGTCTCGCCTTCACTTCCCGCTCAGACTGTCCAACATTTGAACATTTCAGTCGACAAGAAGAGCGCATCCGTCATAACGACTCCACATATCCCCATGTCAGATCACAGCTTGGTCGAGTGACTGCATAATTGTTCTTACTGATCTCTGGATCTCTCCATCCTGTTTTTCGAGGAAACTCTTTTGACTATAAATTGCATGTTGTATTAAAAAAAAACTTTTGGGAAAGATCTGGATGTTTTGGAGATTTTGATACTTGCATTTTCAGAGGTCCCCATTTGTAGACCGACTACCTACTTGCACTGGGCTGGAAGAATTTGTAACTGATTCCGATATCCCACTTGTTTAACGTCCTTTGCAATACTGGGTGGTCATTCAGTTTACCGGGGACAAGTTTGTTTTTTAGTGAGAAATTTGTCAGGTCTATTTTCTTGGGAACTGGCACTATTTAACTCTTTTTGCTCCAAGCGCTCTAAACTTGTCAATGGTGATGCTAATTAACTGCTGTATATTTGAAGTAGGAGTAGCCTATAAGCCCTTTTTTAACAGTACTGAAACATTGTATTAGTGTTGCTGGCAGGATTCTTCGAACTGTCGCACAACTCGACAAAATTAGACGATCTTAATTTGAGTATTTGACAATTATTTGGCCAGGCCCCCCCGACCTCGGACCCCCCGAGCCTTACGCGCGCTGGGAGGACTGTGTCTGCAATAAGACGGGGGAGGGGGGCCGCACACACACGCACACACACAAACTTGGGACTTCCGCATTACGTATTGTTGCTAACTATTGTGTAATGATCAACTGTTGTCCTAAAGGATGTTTCCCTGTCAAATAAAAGATATCAGTTTTTTATTTATGAAACACGGTGTCGGCTCTTTTCTTTTCTTCGGTCTCTGTGTTCTATCGAGATCGAGGATTTAAAGCCGTAACAAAGAGAATGTTTGGTGAATTTTATCAAAGGGTTATTGTCCTTCTTCCGGGATTTGGGAAAAGCTTAAAGGTTGTATGGAGGATTTTTTTTTTTGTTTTTGTTTCAAATTGTCAATGAAAGTTTAAAATACCCTAACAGAGATGCAGCAGCCTTGTAATTATGTTGACTAAAAAAAAAAGAATGAAAATCTATCAACTGTGGATGTAGTGAGGGCAGATAAACATCAGCCAATAGATAACCAGGCTACCTCATTTTCTATTGGCTGTTAGACTGTCAGTCAAACTCCCTGCGTTTCTAGTGTAACTGACTTGCAGGCGCGCAGGGATTATGTGGTTTATGCAGTGGTTCTTAGAGGCTTTTTTAAACTGTAGCTTCCTCGCAGTTCGTTTGTTTGTTTGTTGAGATGACGGACGAGAATCCATGACCAGTTTGCCACAAAAGAAAGTCCGTTTTTGAGGTCGCTGAAAGAAGAAGAGAAGGAGAAAGGTTGCAAAGCCAAATACGTGATTCTTGGAGATCTCTTCCAGCGATTGCACGAATGAAGCAGACAAAGGGTCTAAAAACTGATTCATCCGTCGCTATATTATTTCTAGACAGGTCACTTCAACAGTAATTCTGAACACGCACTGGCTGTAAACAAGCGTGATTTTTAGAGTAAGGAGGTGGGAGGAGATGTTTCTACTGAAGGAACTGTGGAGGAGGAAGGTGGTGTCACGCATGCATAACATTTGAAAAAGTTCTGTCACTGTATTTCTTTTCCCTTTAAAAAATCCTCTATACAACCTTTAATATACCAGTTTGCCCCATTAGCGGCGCATTACATACGTCACGACCAAATAGCAGCGATTGGTTAAATAAAATAAAAAAAAGTACCTGCCTACTGTTGAGCGAACAAATCCTAATGCTGAGAGGTCAGACGGTTTCCACGAAGTGAAACCTGCTGATGAATTAGATTAACATTTAGTAGCTTTTTAGATAAAATGGTACTTTTAAGAATTTTAGAAACTACCTTTTGCTTATTGGACATGAGAATTATTAGTGACAATGAATTTTCTTTTGAACACTAATTTCTGGAGCCTTCTATCTGTTGCCTTAGGTTCATAAGGAGCCCAAGGACACCGCTCAGGACGTCCTCTCATATCTGGTAATGACTCTCACCGAGCCAGCTACCAAATACACTGACCACTTCATAAATCCTTTGGTAAAAACACTTCATCCTTCATTGAGGACACTAGAGATGTACTAAACAGAATTGGAACTTTGATGAACATTAAAGACCAGTTTCTTGTAATAATGGATGTTGAAAGTCTGTACATAAATATTGAACATCAAGAGGGTTTATCTGCTCTGAAATATTTTCTTACTGAGAGTGATATTTCTAAATCTTCTTGTGACTTTCTGTTGAAACTTACAGAATGGGTTATTCATAACAATATCTTTATTTTTATGGATGAGCTATACATTCAAAAAATTTGGTATTTCAGTTGGTTCTTGTTTTTCTCCTAATTATGCTTGTTTATTTTTGGTTCTTTGGAAGCAGGACTGTGTCCTTCATCCTGTTAATCATTCTTTTCATTGTATTACCTGGTATGGTCACTACATTAAAAATATTCTATTGATTTTTAATGATACTTTACTTTGGAATTGCACAAATATTTAAATTCTATAAACCGTAATATTAAATTATCAATGGAATATTCTGTGAATATTGTAAATCTCACCGTATTTAAGGGGGAAGTGGAGCATTTGTACATTAAACTCTACAGAAAAGAGACATCACATAATATTACCCACAGAGCAGATTCTTTTCATCCTCAACACCTGAAGCGAAACATCCCTTATGGGCAGTTTCAACATTTGTACTTGGGACTTCGTAGAACAGGCAGAGATGTGCCGAGCCTGAACATCAGGTGGAGTGGAGCAGACTGAGGGTGTGGTCTGATGCATTCAGTGAATTGACAGAATCGTAAAAATAAATATCAACCGAGTCCACTGAAAAACAGCATGTAACATGCTCAAGGCTTCTTTTATTTAGAAATATATCAGGACAATAAATGCTTAACA